GAGCAATTTAATGAAGAAGAACCGATCAATGAACCAGAGAAAAATATCGAATCAGAGTCAATCATCGAGGGGGAGCAGATACGAGAGAATGATCCAATTCTTGAAGAAGAACATTTTGATGATGCTGATGATTCTATTTCAATAAATGGATCAGAAACAGATGTAATGTTCGAAGATGCACTTTTGGATTTTGATCCTAATTATCCACCATTGGATAAAATGGACAAGAAATCATCCAAAGGATCAAATTATTGGTGATCCACAAGCAGGAATCATGACGAGAGCACAACTTCATGCACGAAATGAGGTATTGAACAATCATCAAGAGTATTGCATGTTTAATGTTTTTATTTCCAAAATTGAACCAAAGACAATTAAGAATGCAATGGAACACTCTGATTGGATTGTTGCTATGCAAGCTAAATTGTCTGGATTCGAAAGAAACAAGGTTTGGAGATTAATTCCAAAGCCTAAGGATGTGTCAGTTGTTGCACTTAAATGGATTTATAAAAACAAAACTGACAAAGATGGAAACATTATTCGAAATAAGGCCAGACTTGTTGTTAAAGACTATTCTCAACAAGAAGGAATTGATTACGAAGAAACATTTGCCCCTGTCGTAAGACTCGAGGCTGTTCGTATTTTTCTGGCTTTTGCAGCTCATAAAGATTTTGATGTTTATCAAATGGACATCAAATGTGCATTCTTAAATGGAGAACTTGAAGAAACAGTATATGTTGAACAACCTCCAGGTTTTATAAACTCTGAGCATCCTGATCATGTTTATATTTTAAATAAAGCTGTATATGGGTTAAAACAAGCACCAAGAGCATGGTATGCAACTCTTACATCATTTTTGAAGCAATCTAAATTTAAACAAGGTTCAGTTGATCCCACTTTATTTCGAAAGAAAATTGGGAATCATCTGATGCTTGTTCAAATTTATGTTGATGATATAATTTTTGGCTCAACTGATCCTGCTTTATCTGAAGAATTCGAAGATTTGATGAAAAGCAAATTTGAAATGAGTATGATGGACAAAATTAATAATTTTTTGGGTTTAAATATTAGACAAAACAGGGAAGGCATATTTATCAATCAAGAGAAATACACGAAGAATCTGTTGGAAAAGTTTGGAATGACGAATAGCACAAGGTTACGAATACCAATGGCAACGAGCATAAGGCTAACTCCTTCGTTAGATAACTCTGCTGTTGATATTACTTTTTATCGAAGCATGATTGGGTCTTTATTGTATTTAACTGCAAGTAGACCTGATATTATGTACTCGGTTTATAATTGTGCTAGGTATCAATCAAATCCACGAGAACCACATCTCACAGCAGTAAAGAATATTTTCAGATACTTAAAAGGCACTAATTCGTTAGGATTGTGGTACCCGTCGAAAAAAGGGTTCTTTGTCCAAGCTTATTCAGATGCGGATCTCGGAGGATGTAGTCTTGATCGTAAAAGCACAACTGGTGGGTGTCAATTGCTAGATGGAAAGCTGGTCAACTAACAATCGAAGAAACAAACATGTGTGTCAATATCAACCGCTGAAGCTGAATATGTTGTTGCAGCTGCATGTACATCACAAATAATTTGGATTCAAAGTCAATTAAGAGATTATGCAATTAATATGAAAAAGATTCCTTTATATTGTGATTCACAAAGTGCAATAAGAATTTGTCATAATCCTGTGCAACATTCAAAGACAAAGCACATTGCACTTTGATATCATTTCATCAAAAATCATGTTGAAGAAGGCAATATTGAAGTTCATTTTGTGAAAACAACGGATCAATTAGCAGATATTTTTACAAAGGCTTTGGATGAAAAAGCGTTTCTTCGGATATTAGACGGTTTGGGAATGATTGATGGAAATTCTCTTCAGGTCACTAAAAACGAAGGGTGATAGTCTGAGTCATTTGGTGAATGGGTGGAAAGAATGATTAAGTGTTCAGAGGTTACTGTTCATGGTCAACGCTTCGAACGCTTCGCATTCGGAAGTTTCTAACAAATCATCAGAGGTTACTATTCAAGTCAACGCTTCGAATGTTTCGTATTCAGGATATTTTCAACACACTTCAACTAAGGTTAGATTTGTTTTTACATTTTTGAAAAATCTGAAAAATCAAAAATATTTTCCTTAATTTTTGTTCTGTAATTTTCAAAAAGATTTTATTTTTTTTTCTTAAATTTGAAAAATCAAAAATCCAAAAAGATTTTATTTTTGTTCTTTTATTTTGAAAAATCAAAAATCCAAAAAGATTTTAATTTTTGTTCTTACGTTTTGAAAAAATTCAAAAATCACAAAAATATTTTTGTTTTCTTTGTTCATCAAACTGTGTGTGCTGAGAATTTAATACAGGGTAATAATGCGAAGAGGTCATACATTTGTGTTTCTGTGGGAAGGTATTAAATTTTTTTTTACAAGCTAGTTAGGATGTCCCTAGAAGCATGCTGCTGTATGTAGACCAAAAGCCTCAACATGACTCTATGTGTGTCAAGAAAGCCTTAATGAAATTATCTCAAGAAAATTTCTTCCCAAAAAGGCTTATATTCGCATAAGTCAAAACGAGCTACCTTACACTTCTCAAATGAGTTAAGAGTTTTCTGTTTTGTCCATTATAACAGAGGTACACTTCGATTCTTATCCAATCTTTTTAAACCAAACAATTCTTTCAATCCAAAATTTTTTTGAAAAAGATTTGTCCTTGAGGTCTTTGGTCAAACCAATCAAAACCTAGACAAATCACAATTCTGTGTTTAAGATCTAACATCATGAGACCGTGATGAAAGTGAAACCCAAAATTCAAACACCATTAAAGAATTGACGGGGGACTATGTTCCAGATCTTACGAAGTTTTTGCTTCAGTACCTTTTATATTCCAAATCATATTCATTTCTTTTGAGTGATCTTAATCAAACATTCGAAAACTACGATGTTTGCTCCCAAATAGATCCAACATAATTTTTTTTTATGAATATGATTTCCGTGTGAGTATATTTTCAAAATATTTGTTACTTTGAATATCATTCGCAACCAAGTTGTCACTGACTACACTGGTCATACAACTAATTTTGTTTACAATTACTCACCTTATTTTAAGGTTGATATGTAACAAAATTTTCGAAGTCACCAATTGTGTCCAATAAAAGAAACCCTTCGAAACTTCTGTACAAGTTATCGATTGTATTTCACGGGAAACCACACAAGCTGACAATTATCTCTCTTGATAATTTTCGAAGATATCTTTGCCTGGGATAACATTGCTTTTATGTCAAAGAAATTATTATGATCACGAGTTTTCAAAAGTTTTTTTTCTTTGCTTCTCATCTAATTTCTGTTGGCACACAACACGCATGAAATCCTTGAGGTTTGAGTAACACCAACTTAAATTGATGATTTCGAAACTCTGGCAAATGACTTCGCTTTTTAAACCTCAAAGTGAAAGAGCCTGACCTCCATTCTGAAGGCATCCGACGGTCACAATTTGTTTGGGGAACACCAAACGGTCCTATCTCTTGATGACGTATGATGTAGGATAAGCGTGAACGGCGTATTGACAGTTACGATTGTTAATTTTTGATGAGTTCATTTCGGGTTTCAAGGTGCCATGTCAGCAAGCATTTAATGCATCCCGCTTCAAATTCAAAAATTCTAGGGTTACATATAAAAGGGAACGTTACAACTTCATAATCCTTTACGCAAATCATCTTCTTCAGAAAATCAAAAAACTCTCTCTGCAAATCATCTTCTTCACACAGTTCTTTTCTTCAACTCATCTACAATGGCAGATACTTCATCACCAACCACTGACGAGATTATCAGTGTTCCAATCTTGAAGATCCAGGGTTCAAACTATCAAGTAGAATCAGATTTTTCGAAATATCCGGAAGAACTAAAAATGCTGGTGGTTGCTTTACAGAACTCTGTTTTGTCTAAAGCTATGTTCCAATCGTTTGCTACCCCAATGTCTTGGTTATCGAAGGCCGGTTCTACAGCTTCTTACAACAAAGAAACCAGGTGTGTGGAATTCACCATGGTTACTGATACACGAATTAGGGTTTCCAAAAGATTGTTTTGCAAGATTGTGGGAATTCCAAATTCAGGTCCATACGATGAACTCACGTCTTCGCAAGTGATATACATGTTCAATGAAATGGCTCACCAACCTCCATTGACACGTATAAGTGATTTCAAGAAGTCACGTCTACCAACCATTTGGAAACTTTTATTTGGCATCTTCCTCAGATGTCTTACTGGTAGAACGGTGGGCTTAAACAAAGGTAGAATGGAGGTATACGCAATGGTTGCAGGGCTTTACTATGATTTATAGGTGGACTACTCTGAGCAGTTGTGGACCGAGTTTATTACAAGCATTACGAAGACGAGTGCTAAACAGGGAATTTCTTGTGCCAGATATTGGAGTTTGATTGTCCAATATGTATATCAGAAGGAAAAGATCGAGATATCGGATTCCGAAGAAAAAGCTGTATTTCACATGTACGGGAGTCCGAAGGAAGTACGTGACGATCCGGCAATTTTTACCTCAATAGCCAGAATTCCAGATGCAATGTTAAAGAAGGTGGATCCTACGAACAAAGTGTTGGTGTCATACTTACAATCAATTGACACAACAGTTGTGACTGGGAAGTTACAACAAGAAGCCACCAAAAAGACGAAGAAGTCCAAGAAGACGAAAGGGGGATCTTTGGAAAAATAATTAAAAGACGACCAACATCAAGCACTCATTGGTCCTTCCTCAACTGTTGAAAAGGTGTCTCCAGTCTTGACATCAGTTTCTGATACTCTAGTAATTGAGGCCTCTCCATCAAAGGAAACGATTCCTTCGAAGACGGGAGTTTTTCGAAGAGTCAAGATAAAGCGAAAGTCTCAGTTGGTGAAGAAAACACAGGTTACTCACCAAGGGGTTACAGTTCGTGAAGTTCTAGCTCCTGTGTCTCCATCTTCGAAAAAGAGAAGGGCTGAAGAAATGGAAAAGATCTTGAAGAAACCCAAACTTGTCGAAGATGAAGAACTTGTGCCTGAAACCCCTGAAGCAGATATTCCAAAAGAAGTTGAAATCTTTCAATCTACTGAGATTTCGAAACCTGCTGACGTCAAGATTCTAGAATCAATGACTCTACCACAGGCTACTTCTACCATCGAATCTCCTACATTCCAATCTATCATGAATCAACCCTTTACCACCATTTTTTCAACACAGTCCATTGAACCACCACAATCTTTATCACCTATTGGTGAAACAATGGCAATTGATGAAGAAACTGACAACGAAGGGTTTGGGGGAACTTTCGAAGACCTTTCTTTTGATAAATCTGAAGAAGGTTTTCCGGATCATATGATAATGACGATGAAGCAGTTCAAGATTTTGAATTCCAAATTGAATTCAATCTTACAATCTCAAGCAGATGTCGGAAATGCTGGAATTAATCTTTTGCAAGTTGATTCGTTGATGAAAGAGATGGAAAACAGGCTGTTGTCAAAAAATTCAGGGCTAATTCGTGATTCAGAAAGCCAAATTTTAGAAAAAATTGATCAGTCTGATAGTTCTACTCAGAATAGAATCAAGTTTCTAAGAACTGATTTCTTGAAGGAAGTTAAAGATTTGAGGATGGTTACGAAGGAGCGTCATGTGCTCTTCGTACACGAGGTGAAGAAAGTTAGAGAGGATGTGAATATGCAGATTAGAGAACTTCGTGAAGAAATGACGAAATAAGTTCAAACTCTTAACCAGGGGTATGATTCTGCACATCAGAAGATTGACATCATTTGTGATGTCGTTGTTCAGTGGGTTAAGAGGTTTGAACCGCTCAAATCACAGATGACTTCTCTGTCAGCAACAGAAGTTCAACATTTTGGAGAATTGGTGAATCTAATGAAGGAACTTAAAGAAATCTCTTCGAA